CTCAGAACTGTACAACCATATGGACCAGTATTAGAAGTCAAACAAGCGACCTAACACTGCCAGTTTTTCAACAGAGTACAAGATGTGAATTTTCCTTTCACTTCCAAATGTCTAAAATAAACAAGATACTATCAAATTACATGCTTCAGCTTTTATACACTATTACAAAAGTTATTGTCCTGACGTCAAAAACTACAAAAACCACCGTGGTTGGAAATCTCTAACTCTGGCAATATATCATTTCATACTTCAGGTATGCTGACAGTGAGAGGCATAAGGAGTCAAGCAAGACATTGAACCAGGCCTCCCTTTGTCAGCTAAGTTCTAGAAAAAGTGTCACTAACAATTTTTCAAATTAACTTCAATTTTTAGCTTTAAAATATCTATTAAAATTACGCTGCAAGCATTTAGTGTAAACTACTAGTTTCCTCTAATAAATATGAATCACTCGTATAACAAGCAGCTTTCCACTGTTTTGTTCCAAAATAAAGAATTTCATGGCAGGGGGGAACAACTAAGCAGCATCACAAAACGAAATGCTTTTGTGATTTATGTTGTGCAACATGCAGAAGTAAATGCAGCATTTTCAAAACAATGTCTCAAGTAATTTCAAGAGTGGTAATGAAGGAAGGTTTTTATAATTCTCAAAACACTCCTATTTTTTTCCCCCCTCTCAATTTTCCTGGCCTGCTATTGTGAGGAGGGATATTACCATACCTGAAGGTTTGAGGAAAGCAAATACATGGATTCTCCTCATTTTTACTTACAATGTACATTTATCTCATTTTTATGATCAGTTTTCCACTTCCTTCTACAACTGCACACCTGATACATTTTCTGGTTACATACAGCTGGTTGTAAAACCCACAAATGTTGCAGACAACTGAAGAATAAGCCATGCTAACTCATTTTCTTAGACATTAAGTTATTTCAAGCTGTCATTTACAATCAAACTAAGCAGCACTAGTAATATAAAACTGAATGATGTTTAGGTGCACTATAAAAAAAACATTTCAAGGGACAACCTTTGTGATCAATAAGCATAAACATCACTGCTACTACTGACATCCTGGCATGTTCTTCACCTTTAATTCAATTTAGTAGTCATGTTCATTATAGAATATTAAACTTAATAGTACTTTAACTCGTCCTCAGCTCCCTTCAAATTTTCAGAAAGGATCTGCCTTTCAAGTTGACCACTGCACAGCTCAGAACATCCTGCAGGAGCAGTCATGCGGTCCCTATTCCTAACCTGAAGTTCCCTCTTGGAGATGAATTCGACATCGAAAATTGCCACTGCAGCACAGAAAAAAAAAAAATGAAAGCTGCTAAAGTAAGTGTACTGCTTGCTCTATTTTAACTTGAGTACTAGGTCTACAGAATTAGGGCCTTACTCTCCAACTGAGCCTGTATTGGAAATCCAGTGAAAACAGGGATGCAAGAATAAGGCACACTCAACTTTTAACACAGTTGTGCTTTATTAGGGCCTCTCTCCTTGCCAGAGAGGCAGCAGAGCCTCTTCAAGCACCATTTCTGTCTGCTACTTCTCCCCACATCAGCATTTGCTTTCTGCCTTCTCCAGTTGTTCACAGTTCCTCCACTTGATTTGTCTTGAAACATGGCAGTCACTGCTTGGTCCATCTCCAGTCCAGAAAGCCTCTCTCCAAGAATTGTCAGCCTGGATTACTAGTCCTCACTCTAGCACACCCTCAGACACTTCTGCCCTCAGTTATTCCAAAGTGGTGGATGTTTTCCTGTGATTTCCCAGGGTTTCAGATCAGAACTGCCACCATGCCCCTCACCTCCCAAGTGCAGTCCATTAGCTGCTGAAGTAATAAGCAGGGCACAGGCTGTTACCAAATCCTGTTTAGCAGCCATGATTAACACCTGAGAAGACAGCTGGAAGAGAATATCCAGCTGTCTCAGAATTACTTCCCTCCACACAGTTTTAGATAAGAGTTTTTTTCCATTCATAATATGTCCATGAAATAATCCAACAAAACACTGCCCTGAGCCACAATTGATATTTGAATATATAACAATACTGGACATGTAAGCAAAGGCACAGCTTAGAAAAAATAACAAAGGGCACCAGTATTTTAAGAGTAACTTTTTCACGGAAGTGGGGAAAAAAGTCTGTTTGACTTGCATCCATCACTAGAGTCAAGGACAGCACCTGACAACACTCAACTGATAGCTCACACACTTCCAGTTTTACTAAAAGTATTTCAAACACTGATTGTAAATTTTCTTCTCATTCACATGGTGCAAATGCCCAGAGAGGTTGCGGAGTCTCCTTCTCTGGAGATATTTAAAACCCACCTGGACACCATCCTGTGCAACCTACCCTAAGTGATCCTGCCCTAGCAGGGGGGGGTTGGACTAGACGATCTCTAGAGGTCCCTTCCAACCCCAACCAATCTGTGAATCTGTAAATAGCTAGCATTGTATCTAAATTATCACTTATTTTTCCTACTTAAAGGCAGCATCACTTAGCAGACGTATGTAGTTGGTCTATGCCATTTTTTTGAGAAAGTTTGTAAGCATCGTCTGCACTTATCAGTGGCTGGGGTCACGGCCATCTACCCCATAATCAAAGTGGCATTGATCTATTTACCAGTCAGTGTACAAAAACATTTGAGGACTGCAGGGTTATCAGTGTGACAACACATCCTTCAAAGAGATTCTATAATGCCTCCTTGGAGTGGACTATCAACACAAGCAAGGCTGCCTTTAATTTACCTCCAGATAAAAACCAGACACTGTCTGTGTCTGGGTAATACCTCTAGTAAAACTGGCAGATATCTGTCTGCAGAATTTATTAGTCTATCACCAAGTTACTGTGGATCAGGAATACCACATCATCATCACTCGAGCAAGCAAGCAGCTATCTGACCTTGGTTCATACACTATCACCAGCTCCCAGGGCAAATGTGTGCCAAAAAAAATCACCCTCGGCTAAGCTTCCAAGACAGCCCACCATGTGTGTAAACTGCTGTGGAGGATGCTGCACAGACCAGCTGCCCACTGTTCCCCTACTGACTGAGAAGCTATGGACTGATTTGAGGCCAAAATGGATGCAGGTGTGCTACAGAAAGAGCATAGCTATCACTGAGCTTTCTGTTGTATGTGACCACAGTCCCTCGTTCTTTCAACTCAGAGGCTTTGCACAGTAGAATAAAACCACCACCACTAACACCGTTAAGAGATACAACTAAACCAGCGCTAACCTCAGCATAACTGCTGGGGCCAACAAGGACAGAACATGCTGGGCCTTTCCTCATCTCCTCCTTCCTTACTTCCAGCCAGCATTTCTTTTCTTTTTTTGCAGAACAGATTATTTTTTAATTCACAGTTGCCAGGACATTGACCTGATTGAGCCATTCACCCATTCTAAAACTGTCACCTGTTTGTTTGCTAACTCCAGCCTAAACAAACATCAGTAACAACTTCTACTTACAACTACTCTCACAATCGCCCATCAACTTTGTTTCAAATCTAATACAACAGCCTGCAGCTGAGCACACACCAGACTATTGCAGTTCCATACAATCAAGCAGCAAAAGGCACCAGCGCAGGCCCAGATGCAATAGCATCCTTGCTGTATGCACAGCTCTACAGGCAGCTCTTCACTCCCTATCAAACTCATTCCTGCAGATCTATACATGACCTAAAAACACCATCAACATCAGAAGTCCATCTTCACTTAGGCTCTCAGCATTAAGATAGATCAGCTGCTGCAGCATCTACAAAGAGCTGGAGCAAGTTCTAGAAACTTTTACAATTGAGTGGTCTACAATTAGCTTAAGAGTAGCTTAAAAAAAGAATATCCCCAACAAGCCTTTTTCACACTAGCTACTAGATTCTCCTCTCACTTTCAGTGTGGTTATACTGAAGTGATCTACTGTCAGTTCCAATTTCAGTCTAGAAACCATTCTAACCAAACCGACAGTCACTCCTACAACTCTTTTTGGAGAGCCACATGATACAACTTTCGCACACAACTGGATCACAATCTAGCACTCACACTTGTCAGGATACCGGCAGTGACTTGACTTGCTTTTAATATTTGTCAGTTTGGAACTAAATTCATTCAAAACTTAGTCTGCATTGGTTTGCTAATGGGTAGCCATAGCGATGACAACATCAATACTAATTCTCTATAGCTTACAGTCTTTTCTTCCCCTACAGACTTAGGTAAGGGGTTAGTCATAAAAGTGAAATACATGATTGTTCTAAGGGTACGGTAAAATTTCTTATGGCACCTCATGCTATACCAGGCATTGTACTTGAAGTCTATTTATATTACATTGTTATTTTCCCCTCAAGTCTACACCTGTAGGTTAGTCAAAATCTCAGATTATATATATTTAGTAATTTGGCTTTGTAGCTTAGCTTGGTTAAAGAGCTTATTCCTCCTGCCTGATATCTTTCCCTCTCAGAACTAGAGTTAACTGAGGATTTCCAAATTGGAAGTCTAAAACAAGCTCTTTGCAACAGTTATCACATCAGGGTTTAAAGTGTATCAAAACTCCCTGTCCTTAGAACAATGCAAAGAGAGAAAATTGTGAATGTAACGTTCTCACAGTCTGGTTGAGGCAATCCCAGTACACTGAGGTAGTAGCATTTGCAGTGAAATATTGCTCCAGTATACAGTTATATGGCAGAATCTACCCTAATTCAGAAGAGCTGTATGTAATGCTAGAGTTAGACAATATCACTCGGGCAAATACCCCAGTGTCAGTCTCAAGTCTTTCTGAAATAAGACCAGGAAATGCAAGTTTCCTTTGACTGGCATGAATCCTAATAGCGAAAGCTTACATATCAACAGTAGTATATTCGTTATTGATCATTTTTAGCAGAAACATCAGCCTAAACAACATATTCCTTGCCGCTAGATCAAGCTGCACAGTTCAAGCATAATACTTCCAGAAATAATTTTCTACACAATTTATTATTGTTTACTGGCAACACACCTGCAAACGGTAAATCCCAAAATATTTAAATATAAGTTCCTTTCACCTTTAACAAGTAATTTATCTCGAACAGACACCCTCCGAGTTGAATCGGAAGCTGGATTGGATGCACGGGGTCCTCTGACACCATCATCCCGCTTCAACTTGCTTGCCAGAGTTAGCATTACTGCTGTCTTCAATCTGGAACACAAATATCGGAACACAGTCAATTACCAAAGCCAAAGCACCAGGAGGGAGGAAAAAAACCCATGTACACAACTGAGTTATAGTTAGTCCCTTATTCAACAACTATCATCACATTGTTAGCACTCAAAGAAAATGCAGTCATGTTAACTGTATATATCAATTAAAGACGAGGATGGCCTAGAGTACTTGAAGAATGAGAGTTTGTTTCAGATGTGAATACTGAGAGAGTTACAGTACGTTAGGCCAAGAGGAAGCGTAATTTTTCTGGAGAAAGATCAGACTTTCATCACTGTTTACAATCCAATTTCACTGCACCATCCACCACAGTATACCACCGCTTGACATCGCTCCTTCGAAAGAACTGCTATGAAAATACCCCTGCCACAACCCTGGCCAGACAACCTGCTATGACCATTCTCATCCATACTTCATGTGACAATATTAGGAGCTACTTTTTGGCTGGCCAAAAAACCCAAAAAGACAGAAAGAGGAGGGGAAGGGTTACTGGAACAATTCTCTAACACTAGGAAGTGAGCTTTGAGTCAGCTAACAGGACACAGGAAACTGATTTAAGCTGCAAATAGTGCAATTATCTATGCAGCTGCACAAGAGTAACTCTTCACAATACATTCCTCACACTGCAGAGCAATGGTGGAGAAAATTAGATATGGAGATCTGGTAACTGAAATGAAGATATTTTTTGCTGTGTCAGTCCTCCACTATAGAAGATAACTGCACTGATAAATAAATTCCAAGAAAAGGTGGACAGAAGGCCAAAGTCATAAAACCAAAACATTCAGTCATGGCTTAATACATTTTGACACTACTCCTAGCTGAAGGTAACTCATTCTTCTTAACAGTTTGGCCAAAAACAATGTAATGCTGACAAAATCCATATCCTTTAGGCCTCACCGCCACCAAAATGGTAGGAGAAACATTTATCCTTTAGTCATACAAATTAATCCAATGAAATAAAGGCAAAAAAACTTGTAAGAAGTCAGCAGTCTTTACATGAACTAGTTTGCATAGAAGACCAGACAGGTATGATGCAGCAGTTACCAAGAGATGAACCAGTTACTCTGGTAACATCAGCTCTGTTTAGTATAAAATGGAGAATCAGCAGAGATATTCACAAGGCAAATAATAATAAAGTCCAGTAAACCACTGAGATGAAGACAATCACACCACAAAATGACAAGACTCAATACAAAATTTATCTTTTGTCAGATTCAGCTCTGTGTGTCTCGATGTTTCTTTCCTTCTTGTAAGCAAGCCCTGAAGTCAAGTTTAACACATCCACTGCAACAGTAGTTACTTTGCTTGTTCATTTTGTTTGTTCTTGCCCCAGAGAAAACAGGGGATAAAGCCTCTGACCTGCCAATCTAGTCACTACATCTGTAACGACAGCCCTACTGCTTTCCCAAGGTTGTGAGAAAGCTGACAGATTTATACCAAACATCAAGCCAACACCAAAATACCAGTGAAGGGGCAAGAAGGAGAAATAAAACAACTGACATGACACTTGGATGTTGAGAAGAATATAACAGATGAGTAACAAGTTTTTTTTAAAAAAGGAAAGCATGTATTTCACAATAGTACTTAACAGTATGAAACTCTGGCAAAGAGCTACAAGAAGGTCAAGTTCTCTGAAGCTGACAAGTATGTTTATTAGCTTCAAGATCCAGATTTAAAACAAAAAAACCCAAATTCAGGGCAAATGTAAATCTTGCTCGCCAAACCAAAACATTCAGTAGATTTTTTTTTTTCCTTCCACTACCCCAGAGAAAGAAAGAATAAGCAGACAAAACAGTCCTTTTTTACCTTGGAGAAAAAAAAAAGACAACAGTTGGTTTAAAAACAAAACTAAAAAAGGAAGGGGGGAGTAGGGGAGTCTGGGAAGTAGCAACACAGGGTCTTAAAATAAAAAAAAAGAAAAGAAAAGAAAAACTGTAAACTGCAGGCACCACTCCACCCCCAAAAAAACACCTTTTAGGTGCCAAGTCCAAATGAAGTCAACTTCAATAGGAATTAAATGCCTGAACACATTTATAGATCTGTTTCCTCACTGCTTGTCCTAGAAAACTAGGAAATCGAAGAGAAGTGACCAGTGTGGAAAAGAGATGATTCGCTCCAGCTATACCCCAAATTTCATCACGGGAGCACAGCGAGGAAGCACGCAAAACTTACTAACCGCAAAGTCAGGCTTTACCACTGCACACACCGGGTAGAAAGGGGAGGGAGGGCTGCTGCGCTTATTTATAGGCAAAGGCAAGAGAGCCCCGGGATTTCTCCAGCTCCCTGGGGAGCGGGGGGCCGCCCTGCTCCGCACCGCCGGTGCCTGCTCCTCGTCAGGGGGGGATGGCCGGGGCCGCTGCGGTGGGGACGCGACCCTCTCG